AAAAAAACACCGATTAAAACAAGTAGAAAATAGATGATTCATTTTTTTTAACCTATACGGATATTAGAACCGGGGGGAAGAGATTGCGATCACACCAGGTGCGCACCATAATAGGGTGAGCCTAGGTGCACCTTAGTGAGGTTCTATCCCAAAACCAATTGGTGATAGATATTAATGAATATTGTAAGAAACTCACTAAACTTAAATGAATGTAACTCGTAATCTCAAATGAATATTGTAAGAAACTCACTAAACCTAAATGAATGTAACTCGTAATCTCAAGATATATGCTGGATATTAATGAATATTGTAAGAATGTGGAAAAATATATGATGTATTAATCACAAAGGTTTTTACATATATACAAAGACAAAAGATAAGCTAACCTAACCCTACAATACATAATACAACTACAATATAACTAACACCCCCCTCCCCCTCAAACTCAAGGTGGTATAGTAGAGATCAACTTGAGTTTGCTAAGAAGTAAACAAAAGCGATCGGGAAGGAGAGACTTCGTGAAGACATCCACTGGTTGATCCGTAGAGGAGACAGAAAAAAGCTTCACAGTCCCACGTGCAACATGTTGTAGAATGAAGTGACAGTCGATCTCAATATGCTTGGTGCGCTCATGAAAGGCATCATTATGAGACATCTTTACAGCACTCTGACTATCAGAATGAGAGCAGTAGACGACGATTGAGGTGCACCGAGATCAGCAAGTAGCCGACGTAACCATAATAGCTCGAAAGTGGAATCAGCAAGAGCACGGTACTCAGACTCAGCACTCGATCTGGAAACTAAGGTTTGCTTCTTACTACACCAAGAGACAAGTGAATCACCCAGAAAGAAGCAATACCAGTAATAGAACGACGATTAGTAGGATCTCCAGCCCAATATGCATCAGAATAGCCGTTAAGTGTCAAAGAAAACTTGCTGAAAAGCGTAAACCTGGTTTATGCAGCAGGATGCCCTTCACATAGCGAAGATTGTGCAACACAACAGAATGATGCGTGATTCTCAGAGCAGCCATAAACTGACTCACAATATGAACAACATAAGCTATATCAGGCCCAGTGAGGAGAGACTTCGTGAAGACATCCACTGGTTGATCCGTAGAGGAGACGGAAAAAAGCTTCACAGTCTCATGCGCAACACGCTGTAGAATGAAGTGACAGTCGATCTCAATATGCTTGGTGCGCTCATGAAAGGTATCATTATGAGACATCTTTATAGCACTCTGACTATCACAATGAGAGCAGTAGACGACGATTGAGGTGCACCGAGATCAACAAGTAGCCGACGTAACCATAACAGCTCAAAAGTGGAATCAACAAGAGCACGGTACTCAGACTCAACACTCTATCTGGAAACTAAGGTTTTCTTCTTACTACGACAAGAGACAAGTGAATCACCCAGAAAGAAGCAATACCAGTAATGGAACGACAATCAGTAGGATCTCCAGCCCAATCTGCATCAGAATAGCCGCTAAGTGTCAAAGAAAAACTGGCCGAGAGCGTAAACCTGGTTTATGCAATAGAGTGCCCTTCACATAGAGAAGAATGTGCAACACAACAGAATGATGCGTGATTCTCGGAGCAGCCATAAACTGACTCACAATATGAACAACATGAGCTATATCATGCCCAGTGACAGTCAAATATATCAAACTCCCAACAAGTTGACGATATATTGTACGATCCTCAAGAAGAGAGTCATCCAATGGAGTAAGACGAACATCATAATGAAGAGGTCTGGAAGCTGTCTGACAATCAGTGAGACCGGCCCGAGCAAGAAGATCATAGGCATACATACTTGGCTTGAGACAAATAGAACCCATCAGAGGAATCAGAAATCTCAAGACCCGAAAAATAACAAAGTTGGCCCAAACTCTTCATCTCAAAATGCTGACGAAGATAGTCCTGTAAATTGGAAATACTGGTAGCATCATCTCCCGTGATGATCATATCGTCAACATAGAGCAGCAAAATAATGATCCCGGATGAGGAGCGCCGAAGAAACAAAACATAATCGTGATCACTCGGAGTGAAACCAAACTGAAATAATGCAATATTAAACGTGGCATACCAGGCACGAGGCGCTTGTTTAAAACCATACAAAGCTCGGCGTAGACGACAAACAAACCTTCCCAGAGGACAAGGACCCCGGAGGAGGAGTCATGTAAACCTCCTCAGGTAAGGCATCGTGCAAGAAGGTATTCTTGACATCTAGTTGTAGAAGAGACCATCGACGAACAGAAGACACAAGAGTTAAACACCAAACAGTAGTAAGACGAGGAACTGGTGCAAAAGTCTCTTCATAATCGATGTCTTACTCCTATGAGTACCCCTTAGCAACCAAACGAGCTTTGTAGCGCTCAATAGATCCATCTGAATTTGTCTTGATCTTATAAACTCATTTGCATCCAATGGGTGTCTATCCAGCAGGTAGACCCCCAAATTCCAAGTATGAATTTCTCCAATGCCTTCAATTCCTCAGCCATAGCTTGATGCCACAATCGATCAACACTCGCCTCACGAAAAGATCTAGGCTCATGATGAGATAGTATGACCGAATAACAATGATAGTCAAGTAAGTGAAAAGGGGGACGACTTACACGGGTCGGTGATCAAAAGTGGACTCAACAGGGATCGTCGGTTCAGGATCCGCAGGTAGAGCCACTTCAGAAGACGGAGGCATGACAGGCGTGTCAATGAGCTATGAGTCAGGACAAGTATCTAGAAAGAGATCCGAAGTAATGGACATGAAGAAAGGGGATGACGAATCAAACGGAATGTGAAACTTAGAAAAAAGAAGAAAAAGTAGTATGCTTCCAAAAGGTAACGTGGCGCGAAATACACAACCATTAGCAATAGGATCCCAACATCTAAACCCTTTGTGTTCTACCCATAGCCCAATAAACAACACAGACGAGCTCGAGGTTCTAATTTTTTCCGCTCATGGGATGGGAAAAAATTGTGGCGGATTGTAACTAGTGATGTGTTCCCACCTTTGCATCCGTCTTTTTTAGGGGATCCCAACCCCACACCACAGGCTCTAACCGCTTACATCGATAAGTTAGAGGATTGGGATAGCTAAGAACCATCAGATTCTTACTTGGTTACATAATACTTCAGTCCCTGCTATTCAGGTACAACTTGCACCGTTTGACAGTGCAAATGAGGCTTGGATTTTTTTGGGTTAGATTAGACTAGGATTAGATTCAATTGTGGGCTTAGTTTTTGCCGCTCGTCTCCGACCATCTCTGGTTCTCACCGCCCAGACCATCATCTCCGGCGTGTCACGGCGAGTCGTCGCTTGAAGTTTGGTCCCATTCGCCGGTGCGTGTGGCCTTCACGAGTCGTCATCTCGCCTTCACCAACTTTAATTACTTACTGTCGAGCTTTATTTTTTTCACTTTTTTTCTCTTTTTCGTATTTCAATTTCAATAGTACTAATACCCATGTACAACATGGGTGTTGGGTTAATGAATATATGTGTAAAGATATTTATGTCTAATACCAAACCTAACTCTAGAGCAAAAATAATATAAAAGCAACATCACGAAGCATAGATTTTCGCCATGTCAGCATCTGAAGCGTGAGAATCTGCCACCTAGACTCAACACGATTTGAATTAATATATAGGGAGGGATGTTACAACCACCTAAATATTTTGAGTGTAATTTTATACATATTTCTATAATTTGTACAGATTTGATGTGAAAAATTTTCAGTTGTCTGATTAGCATATATTTATTTATTGAGATGTGAATTGAAATAATAATTTTTTTTTATTCATATCTGTAGACATCAAAATTTTAATATTTTATTAATTAATGTCTTTATTTATTTTTGGACATAAATCCATGATAAATAAGATATTTAATTAATAAAGTAATTGTTTCTTGCCCACCAAGTCAAATCTTAGGATAAGGAAAGAGATTATATCAAATCTTAGGAGAAGGAAAGAGATTATATCAAATCATAAAGGACCAATCAAATTGAAATCTTCTTCTCCAAGACTCTCTCCTACACCTATAAATAGGGCTCCCCTCAATGCCACAAATCACACCTCAAAATATCAAAGACAACTCAAAATATCAAAGATACCTCAAAAAATATCAAACACAACTCAAAGATTAAAGTCTCAAATTTAAGGGCTCTCAAGAACCCTCTTGAAGATTTGAAGAAGTTCTTGAAGAACCGCCCGAAGTCCATTCAATGAAGAAGAAGGCCAAGAAGAAGAAAAAGAGGCGGTGACTCTTCCTCAAGAAGTAAAGAGACGACCTTCACGCTTCTCAAGTCAATCCAAGAATATCAACGACGTTCAAGCGACATTCAAGCCACGTTCGTTGAGAAGTTCAACCGACATAGCGTTCAATCTGGGAAAAAAGTTATCAAACCCTCGAGTTAACGTTATTCAAGTCAAAATCCATCTTTCAAGAGGATCAAAGAATCAAGTCCTCCAAGAAGACTTCTTCAACCAAGTCAAGGCCTAACATTTAATACGGGAATAAGTCATTCGACCCCTAAATTAATGTTAGAGAAATTTAAGACCAAGCCCGAAGGAGATTCAACCGTCAAATCCATCTTTCAAGATCTCAAACTCAAATTCATGAAGAGAAGAATCAGAGGAATAATAGAGATTGTAACCCACAATACCGTTTGATCGAAATATATTCAAATTGTACACAAGTTTTATGTTTTTCATAAAATTTGTTGTTACAATATCATTTCACCTTATTTTACTACACAACTTCATTAACACAATTATAAAATAAAAATCCCATTTTTATATATTTTTCACAAAAAATCATTATTCACTCGCTCAAATGGTTTTAACCATCAATTAATTTTATATTATTTTTACAGTACATGAATTTTAACTAGACATGGCCACGGAACGAACCAGCCCGTGAACCGGTACCGGCCCAGACCGAACCGGCACCGGCACCGGCATATACAGTGGCGGCCATTCGAACCAGACCGCGACCAATGCGGTCTAGTAGCGGTTCTTTCC